ACTCCTTAACACTTCTACCTATACAGAACAATCTTGAGATAGGTGCCTTCTAGGACCTCATACATGACTCCCACCCCTTACCCTAACCTATCCCTAACCCTAATTTTAATTAAAACTTCAAAATATTAATCTGACCAATAGAAAAACTTATAATTTATTATGGTAATTTGCGAACCTAATTAAATAATATTCAATTTTTTAATTATGTTTCTTTTCTTCAATTAAATGTTGTCATTAGAGAAATGGTCGAAGTTTCAAGATTGGTTTAAACTTTTATAGATAATTTTTGCATTTAAAAAGTTAATTTTTAGAATAGCTTCATATTTACTAAAGCCAAGATATAGCGAACAATTCCTTTGTATTTGTATTGTTATAATTTATAATTCTCTTAAAATAAGTGAATTTTAAAAATGAAAGCTAAATTAAATTTAATATATAATTGTTACTGCTTAAACTCAATCAATAACAAACCAATTTAATAAAAAAAAAAATCAGCATGAAAATTAACTAATTGAATTAAAATTCTCCAAGTACTAGAAACCAAAAAATATATTTAATCAAAAATTTTTAATCAGTGTTGGGTGTCTGTATTACTGTATTGATAAAAATATATTTTTATTTAACATTAATTCAAGTAACATTTTCCCTCTTCGATAATTTTATATATATTTATGAATAAATCTAACTATAACCAGTGATCATCACCAGGGTGCTTATATCTCAAAAACATCTAAGTAAACTGGATCGGGTATTCTAAGTAAAAATGTTCAGAACCCCAAAAACCTCATGAAAACTGAAATCGGGACCTTATTAGCTCTACATTATATTATATATGTATAAAAAATAATATATAGTTATTGGATGCTTTGTATCCAATAACCTGTGCTATTTTGCAGCCCGATCATAATAATCTGATGGATAATTCTTAACGTTAATGCCTGCACCCTAAATATATCTAGGGGTGGTGATGATCACCATGAGTTATTTTGATTATATTTCTATATTTATTTATTCATTTCAGACTGCGAGAGGATTAGATGTCAAAAATCTATCACTTTCATATAATAAATTCCTATTGAAAAGTGATATTCATTCATATAGCAATAACATCCATATTAAAAATTGCCTAATTATTTTCATTAACTATTTAAATAGTCAACTAAAGTTCGTTACAAATTTTGCTAGTTATCCTTTAATCTGTAGATCATTTCCAGGCAAATTTGCCTAGAAAATTTTGAATGAAGATATCTTAACAACCGCTTGATCAAATTTAACAAAATTTTTTAATTCGAATTTTATGGATGTCGTACAGAAAAAATTTACATTTTGTAGTATTTTCTTATTTGCCGCACAGATATCCGCACGATAAATTAAAAAATTGACACTATTTAGTAGAATTATTATCGGCTTGCTTTTTCTTTTACAATTAATTAAATTTATGAGTTCGATGTTTGAAAATAAAATGGTTTCAAATTGAATCAAACCCTCAATTATTTTAATTAAACTAATACTGGTAGTTTATTCAAAATTATTAATTTTAGATAGGTTTAATTTAACATGTATTCTATTAATAAATTCTATTCATTTCCCCAGTAATTCTTCTCATTTTTGTACTATTTGCGTTATATTGTGCTATTTAACTACTCTTTTTTGATTAAATTTTAAATAATTTTCTTATTAATAATTATATCACATGCTTTAGCAGCCCTACAGTAGGGTGTCCAAGATTATGTTATACGAATTATGCGATTTATACGATTCTAGAAAAATCAATTGTAGAAATAATTTTAAAATTATGATTTTAAATTAATTATACACTTTTAAATCCTCTCTAGTTGTACATATGTACAAATCATAAATGAATAATTAAATAGAATTACTTTCGAGGTAGTCATATTAAAACATGTAGCAATTGATGAAACTGACAAAACTAAAGACATGGGTAAAAGCTGATAAGATTATAAAAAAGACGCCAATTTATAACAAAATTGCCTATTTACTGAATTAAATAAAACGTGATGTGACGACGCTCGCTACTTTTAAGCCAGAGAATTAACTCACTTATCTTGATTTACTTCAATTGTAAAATTTAAAATAACATATTCATAATTCATTCGTTCTGTCATATCTCATTAACATGCATTTCAATTTAAAATAGTGTTATCTTCTATCATATCTTAAAGCTTCATTTTCAAAGCTTTTGTATTTTGGAATATTTATATAAAGATGCGAATAAAATTCAAATGCTTTTTTGTCATCTTTAAAATCACCTAATCTCTTTTCAAGTCGTTCTGTCAACAATAATTCAATATCCTTAACTTTTTGTGAGTTATTATAATAAATATCTAAATAAAATTCAAAAGCTTTTTGGTAATTTTTTTTTGGTTTTAAAATGCAATGCTAGCCAAATTTTGGCATTATATTTGTATTTTGAAACATTATTAGAAACTTGTGAATAAAGATCAAAAGCTTTACTATAATTTTTAGAAAGTCCTGATCTATTTTCATATTGCTTAGCTAAATAAAATTTCGCATCATATTTGAATTTTGAATCTTTACTATTAGCAATAGAAGAAAAACAATTATAGGAGGTTTTGTAATCTTTTTTTTTTGCAAACAGAAACTCCCATCTCAAACAGATTTTTATACTCATTTTCAGGAGTTTTATGTTTACCAGTTATGTTTACCAGAGTTATGTTTACCAGAGTTATGTTGTCTGGATTTTGTTAGTTTGGTTTGTTTGCTCCTAGTACCCCTGATTGTTATGTTGAATTGGCAAATCAATGCATGAATCCAGATCCACAAAAACGGCCTAGTGCATGGGATATTCATCGCCACAAAATTAGTGTTTGGCTTAAAAAGTTAACTTCAGATGATGAAAATGAAATCAAAAAACAGTTCTTAGATGCTAATAAAATCATTAAAACATTACAAATGAATCCTCAAATTCATTCTGATCATATGTATACTAGCAAACTTATTAGCACGCAAAAAATATTAAGCGCTATTAAAAAAGGTATAAAATTATTTAAAAATAGATATTACAATATAATAAATTAAAATATATTTTGCAATTTTTAAATAAGAATTGCCAAGTAGGCCTATTGAGTCTGTTGAAATTTTTTAACAGTAAGTGTTACTTACTATATTAATAAACTTAGTATTTTATAAATATATAAATTTATTACTTGATTATTATATTAAAATTATACTATATTAATTTAATTAAAAATATTATTTGTATATCCAGATTATTCTTAAGCTAATTCTGCTCAATTAAATCTTGATATTACTGATAATTCTAAAAGTTCTGGTATGCATTCTACAAATAATAAATCTATTTTATAAATTGTAATTGTAAATATTAATTAATAATTTAAACCATCTATCAAATTAATATAATTAGGTATCTAGTAACTTGGCTTATTTGAAAAAAAAAGTTTTAGATCTTTCTAAAAATTGATAACTTATTTAGTTTAGCAAAAATAATAATTTATTCAATTTAGATATATACTTTTCTAACAAATTCTCTTTTTGAGAGCTCCTGAATTACAGCGTGCTTTGATTTATATTTTTCTAATACAGTTTGTAGAATTTGTTTGATTTCTTTTCCACAAGAATGTGTGTCAATTCTTTTGCACCCTTCATTCTCATTATATAAATAATCATTCCATTTTTTATTTTGATCTAAGCTTTGAATACGTAAATAATTATCATGGATTCTTATAATATAATTAGAATTAATAATACGATCGAACCTCCCAAATCTGATCCTGTCAAATTTGATAAAAATTTTTTTACCAAGTCCGTTTTTGCTATGTGAATCTAATAGATTATAATGATTTCAAATCCGATAACCTCTCAATACCGATACAAAACCTGTCTACCGTGCATACCGGTTTGGGAAGGTTCAACTGTATTACTTTTGTCTGACAAATTAATGCCCAATAGTTTTTCTGCTTCAAAGTATCAAAAATTGTACGGTGACTTATTAAATTGCAGCGACCACAATAGACAAGCAAGTGTTTATTTTCCTTTGGTCCAACAAACCACATCTTTTTAAGGATATAATTGTTATTAAATGGAACTAATAAATGAGTTATAAAATGGCCAATTAAAAATTATGCTAATTAGTGTATTCTGTTTTGTATAGCGAATACTTACAATTTATCAAAACTATTCTAGATTTTGTCAAATAAAAATAAACCACTGTTTTTCTTGTCTTTTCAGTTATCAAGTTTAGATTTGACGTATATACCAATCCAACATGTAGTCATTGCCATGCTCATATTGAAAACAATAGACATTAGCATATTTGTTGCTCCAACACAACCTCAATACAAAACTCATTCTTGAAACTATAACCAAATTCACTTCTAAGCACAAACACAATATACCTAATAATCATACTCCTTAACACTTCTACCTATACAGAACAATCTTGAGATAGGTGCCTTCTAGGACCTCATACATGACTCCCACCCC